ATACCCAGGATACTACTGATACTTTTAAGATCCCCAAAACCCCAAAACCCCGGACCACAAATGTATCTATAGTGATGCTAACTTAATTTATGAAATAACTTATTAGATTTATTTTAAGTTTTTTGAAGCTTCTCATTGATATCTAGCCCAATCTATGTTTGGAAGTTGTGAATATATGGTGAGCTCAAATTTTCCAATTTATTAAGGGTTGAATGTTGAAGGAATTACTATGTATATTCCTTATGGTAATTTTGCAGTTTGCGAGACACATGCTGACAAGTTATTGGTGTACTTTCCGTTGTATGTATTTAGTGTTGGATTCTACAAGTTTTTTATTTAAATACTACCTGCTGCAGGTGGCCATCTGTTAGCTTGGATTCTGTACACCATGGCATTTACACAAAAAGAGAATTTGTCGTGATCTGATATAACAGTATAGCCATCCGAAGCCATCTCTTCTACTATTCTAAGTCTTATTTTAATATCACACTCGCCTGTGATATTAAAACAATATGCAGGATTTTTGTCAAACATTCCAAAGTTTCCACAGCCACCAGCATTTTAAGAAACCCATGAGTCATTTATGATGATTTTTTTCATTCCCACTCCCTCAGGCAAAAGCTCTTTGAATAACAAAGGCTAATCACTTTCAAAAGTTAGAGTTCCTGCGACAGATTACTCAGGCTTGAATGTCGAAACTATAACATTATAAAACTCTCCCTTATTTAGGCGATAATGCAAATGAGCAATTGCTGGCTTATAATAGGACTAAAAATAAAATGACATTATATTGGAATTATCTTACAGTTTTCAAGGCAGGATCTACGAGCTTTTCCTCTTTAATTGCTGAGATTCTTTCTTTTGACTCTGCATAAAGCAAGTATAATTTAACATCTGAGTTAGATGAAGATTAGTATGTAATCAAAGTTTCGATCTTGTCTATTGATCCAGAGTTTGCAACTTTAGAGTTGTCCAAATTAAAATAGTATTGAGGGGATTAGTAAAAGTAGGGAGAAGTAGGTATACCACCACTTTGCTGATTAGGCAAATTGAACTTTTGTATATACTTTAAGTTTGAAAAGGCAGCTCTTTGGGTTACAAATGAACAGTTTGAAACTACTCTGATATTGAAAAATAAGTCTTTATTTCTCTAATGTTGATCAAGGACGAGGTTAATAACCTTGTGCTGGTTATAATACTCTGAAGCTGGTAGCTCGAGATAGAGCATATAGTTCTGCTCATTGGTGTAAACTGATTTTACCAATGCATTTCTATCTTCTAATATTTTAGTACAGCCATTTAAGTTTGGATAGGCATGCATTGCTATGTAATCACTAGCTTTTTCTTCATCCTCGTTTTCTCCATTTTATGTTATGAGCATTTTAGAGATCACTACCCACGTGATAATTGTTCCATAAGTAAATTTATTGTCCTTGTCTTCCACAAATCGGACGCAGTACTATGGGTTTTCTTTTATTGAAAAGGTTTAGGTATGAGTCATTTCGGCTGATTTCCAAAGATCAAAGAAACTCTTACGATATACTAGCAGATCAGGATTCCAATTCATATCCAATGACTCAAAATACTCACAAACAGAGTCAATGTCAATCCAGAATATACCATTATCTGATTGCTTAAGATCATCATAATGAAAGATTTGCTTTAATTCCTAGGTCCAATTGATAGTGTCTTCAGTTGAAAACTTGCCATTCCATCTAAAATGTCCCCAAGGATTCTTTACTAGAAGGATCTTATGATTTCTATATTCAAATATTTCTAAGACTCCATAAGCATGATTACTGACTAGACCTACAGCATCTTCATCTTAAATAAGGCCAGTCCCAATTGTAATCAGGCAATCATTATTTCTGTAACCACTCTTAATCCTCTCCCATAGTTTTGTTCTATTGTAAGTTTTAAGATCAATCTTTTCGGGTAGCCATCCTGTTAGAGTATATAGATCTCTAGAGGAATTGCTTCCTATAAACTCATATCCACCATGAGCTTTTAGATAAGCTTTTTCAATCAAGCTTACCCAAAGTTTACCTTTATTTGAATATGCGCATATAAAGTTATTATTTTAATCAATAGGCAGATAATCATCTACTTCAACAGCTCTCCATATTCCATTTATAAATAGTTTGACAATGTACTTTCCACATGGATTGTAAACTGGATAACCTAATTTATCTTAGGGATATATTAAACATGACACTAATCTCTTTTAATACTTCATCTTTAGTTCATAATGAGCTGCAACTGCTAGTGATGATAAAACTGAGCAATCACCGATTTTCCTCTGCATTATTTCATAACCCGTAATATTAGTAGCTACATCCGGTCTTCCATTGATATAAAACCTATTTAAAATTAATAAGTTCAATACTAACTTTCTATCTATAATTTCAATAGGCCTCGTCCATTGTTTAAAGTGTTTCATTTGCTTTATAGATAGTTGCAACAAACCATCAGGATCTTCGTATGCTTCTGATGAAAAGATGCTAAATAATAGTTAAATTAATCTTAATTTACTTTGTAATACCTCTTTCAGGTGCCCAGATATCAAATCTACCTCCTCTTACCAAGGATCCTGCCTCGATTATGGTCTTTTCCTTAGGATCATATTAAGATAAAGCAACCTATTTAGCATCGAATTGTGGGTCAGATTTTATCTTAGCATTTATCCCTTCAATGAAATTGATCATTTCTATTATTTTCTTCTTATTTTTATCTTTCTGTTCTTCATCCTTGATAACTTGATTAATCTGTAAACTTATTAGATTTCTATAAATTACTTACAGCATTCAAGTTTTCTGCTGCGATGACATAGCATGCTTTGGCAGTAGGAAGAATGCCTTTATTTCTTTGAACAAGCTAAAAATAGTATTCACCTAAATCCCAGTAGAAGTTGAATGCTTCCATGTAATTTTAACCAACTAGTCTTAAGCCTAACACATTTTAAGCAGTTGACTTAGTCTTTCCAGACTTCATACTGCTTTTCTAGTCTGCAACAAGTGTTTTGACCCACATACCGTGATCAATAGCCTTCTTTGTTAGTTCTTCAAGCTCTGCTCTTCTGAGGGGACTAATCTCACTTTTTATCAAGAACATAAACTTGTTTGCAGCTTCTCTATAGAATTTATAGGCTGCTTCAATTTTCCCTTAAGATTCTAACTTTTTAGCAGATGCTAGGTATTCTTAGCCTAAGTTGTAAAGTACTTAATCAGCATTATTAAATCCTAGTGACTCCATTTTAGAATACAGAAAAATATCTAAAATTATTATCTTTATATTGTTCAATTTCAATTCTGATCATTAATAAGATCATGGGGTTTTGGGGTTTTGGGGTTTTGGGG